AGCCAGGGAGACTGCAACCGGCCGACCAAGCGGCGTGAGTGTGGTGCGGTCCCGAAAGAAGGAGCGAGAAGCCCCAGAGTCAAGTGTAAAGGTGAGGGAGGCCGAAGCCAACGCGGTACCTGAGAGCGCAGCCTCACCCGCACCTGAGGAAGCAGACTCACTATCACCTAGAGCAGCAGCCGCACCTGTACCTGGAGCAGGAGACTCACTAGCACCCAGAGCAGCAGCCTCACCAGTAGCTAGAGCAGCAGGTCCTATACCTGGGTCAGGCGGGACGCACAGGTGACCGGCACGGTCAGCACTAGTAGGCAATGCATACATGGCAGTGAGAATAGCATCATAGTCAAGAGCATATATATCTACCCTCTGCCTAAGCAACTCCACCTAGTCGGGAAGCTCAGCCTCGTCGCCAAACACGGTACGCCAGGCGTCGCTCAGACGGGCGAAGCAGCGGGACGGTGTATGACTAAGTGTCCCACAAGGCTGACCAGTCCGAGTACCAGTGCGAATCACGTAAGAGCAGCGAACAGCACTGAGAGACCCTCCACTCTGAGCGTACCACTCACGAAGCTGGCGAGGCGTGAGAGACACGCGAGAGGGTCGCGGGAGCTGCATCTGGCCGCCACCACGAGTAGAAGCAGCAGGAGTGGTAGTAGGAGTAGCGTCGCCACCCCTACAGCCCCAACCAGCGTACCACTCACGCAGCTCCTGGGGCGTGAGGGACTCACGCCGGCGTCGCTGGGGCTGCATTTGGCTCCGCAAGTAGAAGCAGGAGCAGGACTAGCAGCAGGGAGGCAGGCGGCCAGGCAAGCCAAAAGGCAGGCAGGCAGGCAAGCAGGCGACGCGCAGCGTGCTAGCAGGGCAAGAGCTCACCAGTGGTGGGAAGAGTAGGCTCGGCGACTCAGCGGCTCGGCAGCTCGGCGGCTCGGGGGCTCGGGCGACTCGGGCGGCTCGGCGGCAAGGCGGCTCGGCAGCAACTGCAGCTCAGCAGCTCGGTGACTCGGCGGCTCGGCGGCAGGGCGGCTCGGCAGCAACTGCAGCTCAGCAGCTCAGCGACCCGGCGGCTCGGCGGCAGGGCGGCTCGGCTGCTGGGCGGCTCGGGTGCAGGGCGGCTCGGCGGTGGGGCGGCTCGGCTGCTGCAGGTGAGCGGCTCGGCTGCTGCAGTGGGAGATGAAGGAGGAGGAGAAGCAGGGGAGGCCACACACCTGCCACCCCTCTGCTGGCCTCTCAGGTCGCCTCGACAGGCGACGGGAAAAGGGGGGGGGGGGTGGTGGGGGCCGGTAGGTGCAGCGGCGGGACCAGCAGGTGCAGTTGCGGGGCCGGTAGAAGGGGACGGCAGGAGCCGTCAGGAGGGGACGGCGGGGCCGTCAGGAAGGGACGGCGGGGCCGTCACGAAGGGACGGCAGGGCCGTCAGGAGGCAACCGGGCCGCGACGGGGCGGCTGGGCCGGGATGGGGCGGGGCCGCGACAGAGCCGTCGGCGGGGCCGCGTGAAAGCCGGGGCGGGGCCGCGTAGAAGCCGGGGCGGGGCCGCGCGAGAGCAGGCGGCGGGGCCGCGAAGGAGCCGGGGCGGGGCCGCGTGAGTGCAGGCGGCGGGGCCGCGTAAAGGCCGGGGCGGGGCCGTGACAGAGCCGGCGGCGGGGCCGCGTGAGAGCCGGCGACGGGGCCGCGTAAGGGCCGGCGGCGGGGCCCCGTCAGAGAGGGCGGCGGGGCCGCGTCAGTGAAGGCGGCGGGGCCGCAGGGGAAATGGCGACCCGAGGGGTCGCTAAAAAAAAATCGCGCCTCGGGGGGCGCTTCGGTGGGCCAAAAAAAAAACGGTCCGTAGAAGGACCCGCTCTATACCATGTGAGAATAAGCGAACAGGAATGGATGAACTAGAAGTGAAATGAGTACAAGTAGTAAACCCTAGAATTGTGTACCCCCTATAGGCTAACCCACTGTAGCCTACACAAGCATAACATATATAATGTTTGACATTGCGTACGTGGCCTCTAAGGCCAACACTGCTGATATCTTCACCAAGGCGCTTGCGCCTTGTGACCATCTGCGCTTCTGTACTCAGCTGGGTCTTGTGCCTACCTTGCCTCACTTGCTCACCTCTTGACCTTGCTTGTACTGTTACATATGTATATATATATATACCTGCTCTTACTTGTCTAGCCTTTTTATATATATGTACTAATGCATGTGAACTGGCCTTGTGGCCTTGAACCTGTGCTCGGAATGTGTGGTGACTTTGTGATCCACCCTGAGCTTGCTTTGCTTTGCTTTGCTTTGCTTGACTGGTCTTGTGACCCCTTGTTCTCCCCCACTTTGCCTATGGGGGTGTGTCAGAACATTATAGCTCATGCATATTGTGTAGGCTATAGTGGGGTAGTTCATAAACGGTACAACTCAATTAGGGTTAGTACTTGTACCCAATTCATTCATAGTTCATTCATTCTCGTTTCTTCTCAAGTTGTGCGAAGGAGAAAGTCGAGAATGAGAATGGTGTTCACTATAGCACTAGGGTACATATAGCAAACAGAGCATGCAAAGAAGGTGCACCACCAACAGTTTATAATAACTACACTAAACTACAGCTACAGGCAGTTACATATATATTCTAACAATAGGGTACAACATTTCTAGGTTTCCTACTTGTACCCACATTTTGCCTAGTCACTTCATTCCTCGTAATTTTCACAAATACATCTCGTTTGCCTCTATTAGCTGCCGCAAATTTCCGTTGGTGAAGAATGGGTCAGTCTGGTAGCCGTGGGTAAATAGTCGTGTAAGTAGTGGGTTGGATTGGGCAAGTAGTATGACGAGTCGTTGGGTAGTTAGGCGACGTGAGGGCGTCGGCAATATTTGATGAAATGTATTTGTACGTAACTGTCTAGTGGAAGCTGGACTCCAGATAGTTCCTCCAGCCAATATGTCATGGGTTGAGATTGTCGAAATATTTTGTCATGTTTTATAATTGCTTGTAGTTGTAGTTAGTGTAGTTATGTAAACTTTTGTTGGTGGTGCACCTTATTTTGTTTCTATGCTATATGTACCCCTGAACCTATAGTGAAACCACCTTTTCACCAATTTCCCTCTCAACTCACTCGACATTGCTCCTAGGGGAAAACCCGCTCGATACCTAAGTTAGGGCCTAGGCTACTAAGCCTAGGCCCCCGTTTCTACTCTTAATTTACTTAGACATTCGACAGAGATTCGGTACAGCGTGAAGGTATTAGCGCCAGACCATGTGCGCGATGGTGAGCAGATCCCTATCGTGTATTGGGTAGTTACATTCATGCGGGTGAATCTTGCGAGACTTGTATGCGATTGGTTAAAGGTTGTTTTCGAGATTCTTCAGTGTACTGCTCCAACGGCAATTCCTCTTGCATCAATGACTTGCTCGAACGGACGGTGAGGATATGCGATGTGAAGAACAAGGTGGCGAGCACAAAATTTAGTTTAGGGCAGAAAAGGCACACTCCTCTTCCTCCACCCCATGTGAACTCAACCCTCTTTCTTAGCAGGTCAGCCAGCGAGGCAGTTAGCTTCGCCATGTCGGAGATGAACTGGCGCACATAGTTGACGAAAAAAAAAACAAAAAACAAAAAAACAACAACAACAACAACAACAACAACTCGGTCGCCTTTGTCGGTGGGTGCCAGGCCTGAATTGTCGCGTTCTTTTGTGTCTATTTTTGTTGACCACTATTTGGGATCTAGAAGCTCTTAACACACCTTTAATCCACACGAGGTAGTCCCCACGAGGTCACCTCAAAAGGTCTTCGGGTGCCTGGTCCTACAACAAAGACACGTGTTCAAGTAGAGGATGGCATGGATGGCATTGGCTCTTGTCGGTGGTAAGCGCGATCACTGACTTGGCAGTGATGAATGTAAGAGTGCACAGCTTGCTGTTGATGCCAAAGTTGGAGAGGACTAAACATGCGCTATATACTATTCGAGCTTCGCATAGCTGTTGGTGCATGGCCCGAGACGAGAGGGTGATGCGTTAGCGCAACTTCTGAGACCAAATCTGCGGTTCATTGCATGGTGTCGGACCAGTCCCATTGGTTAGTGTTTCCGAGGATCCCTCACTTCGAGAGCCTGAGAAAACAAAATTGTTTTTAGTAGTTTTAGTTTTCGCGTCGTCATGTCGATGTAGTATAATGGTCAGTATCTCCGCCTGTCACGCGGAAGATCCGGGTTCGATCCCCGGCATCGGCGCTTTGTTAGGTTGGTCATCTTTTGTTTTCCACCGCATTGTCTAAAGGCTACTGGAATCTACACGATAATATGCATCTGTACAGTATAACGCGTGCATTCAGGTCGCGATTGTCAGTTTCGCGCCACCACTGACGCCACCTTCGCACCGTGTATCCTCCTGCAACCACTCCCTTGGTCACGACTCACCACCACCTTCCCGTCTACCCTTGAGAATGCCACACCCAAGTATTGACGCAGCGCACGGAAGTTATTGTTCTGTAGCGAGTGGTTGTGTAAGTAGGAGCCATTCAGCGATGGCAAGAAAACTAGCGAGTTAGGAGCCGATAGTGGTACCGCCGTTACTTTACCCGTCGTCTCGGTCTCCGCATGGCCCGGTCACAGTTGAGTCAACGTGTCTTTCTTCTCCTCGTCTTCACATTCGTCGTTCTTCCATCGACCACGCGCTCAGGTCCGTCGTCCGTCGTCGCAGTCCTCCCCCCCCCCCCCCCCCTCAGCACCGCCAGTAATTCCGTCTCGCTTTTTAGATTTCTCGCCAGTGATTTCGTTGCCCGCGCGCCATTCCCGCTGAGTTAATGGTCGCCATCCTCCCGCTTCCTCGTTTCCCACCGTCTTTGTCTCTCAGCTGACTTTAGCAACAAGGCTACTCGTTTCGCGAGTCGTTCCGAAAGGCGTTCGCCGGTCTTCGCTTACTCTCGCGTGAGAGGGTGAGTGTCGCCCTATCGTGAAGTAACAAATGGCTTGACTTTGGTTGTGAGGTGCTTGAAGCTGGATTTCTTGGGAGAGGAAATAGAGAATGAGCGGTTCAGAGGGATTATGCGCCATTGAGAGGAGCGAAGTACGGTGGAGAGGTGGAGTGAGCAAGCTGGAGGGGGTGCGGGATGGCCTGTTGAATTGCTCGGTTTTCTTGGAGTTTATTCGCAAAAACACCCTCCAAATAAACAGGTGGAGAGGCAAGCTGGGCGGAGTTGAGGTGCAGGCCCTGCAGGGTGATGGCGTGTCGACTCGCTCCGTAAGAAGCTTTGACTGACACCACAACTCAAACTTTGTTGGCTGACGCGGTTTTGTCTGACGTGGGTTTGACGGACAATTGCTCCACCGACGTGGCTTAACTGACAACCTTTTTATTGACGTGGCTTTGACTGCCAATCGTCTGGCTTGGCGTGGTATTGCGTGGTGACCCGTTGACATGGCATGTGATGACATTGACTGCGGTTTCCCGGAATGGTGTGGCATGTGATGACGTGACGTCACTGAGTGGCGTGGCAGGGCTCCATTGGCGGAGTGGCAGCAGCGGCTGCTGACATGGCATGCAGGGCAGGCGGGCAGCGGGAGAGACGCACTGGGGGAGCCGCGGGTGGGAGGCGAGGAGGAGTGCCATGGGGAGGAGGGGAGTGAGAGTGATGCAAGTGGCGGAGATGGCAGCCGTGTGGGGGATGTGGTGGAGCAAGCAGGTGCAGTGGGGGGGAACGGGAGGGAAAGCAAGGCGGAGGGGAGCGGGCGTGAGAGGGCGGGGGTGCATGAAAGGAAGTCAAAGGATGCTGGTGGAGGGGGTGGGGGAGGGGGAGGGGGAGGCGGAGGGTTGCACATGGGGAGGGGCGGAGTTGCTTTCCACGGCAGACAGGCGGACTCTCACGCAGGATGGGGTGGGGGCGACTCACATTTAGGGTGGGGTGGGCCCGACTTACTTTCAGGGTCGGGTGGGGCGGACAAGGGGGACTCTTTGCTCGCTGACTTCCTCCCTGTTCTCGACCCGCTTCGCCTGCCATCTCTCTTCCAATCAGCTGCTGCCACCTCAGCCTCTTCGGAGACCTCCGCTCCACCGGGCTTGCATGCCACGTCAGCAGCAGGGCAGGAGGACGTGGTGAGAGCTGGAGGGTTCCAGTTTTCAGCGCGCACAACTGATGCGGACGCAGGCAGGGCAGGGGGAGGCGCAGAGGAGGGCAGAGCGGGGGAGAGCAGAGCTGGCGAGCAGCAAGGGGCGGGCCGGGGGAGACAGCTGAAGCAGCATCGCAGCGAGCAGGTGGCGCAGGGCGGAGGGCGAGACAAGAGAGGCAAGGCAGCAGAGGGAGGGGGAGTTGGAGGTGGAGGGGGAGGGAGTGAGGCAGCACAGGGGGGCCCGATCACGGAGGGCGGGATGAGTCTGACAGAGCTGTCGTCCGCAGTGCTGTCGGGGTCGCTGCTGTCTGAAGCCCCTCTCGGCTCCCCCGTGCTCCTCCGCGTTGCCTTCTCCTCCGGCCCCAAGGCAGGCCTCCACGCCGTGCAGCAGCCACCGCAGCAGCAGCAGCAGCTTCAGAAGGGGGAGGCGGGAGCAGCATCAGCAGCACCTGGGGGTGTGTCGTCGCCCTTCTTCCGCCTGTCATCACAGGTGGACCTGTCACAGTCACGCGTGCAGCTGTTCGGTCCCATGCCGCACTCGCGCCGCCGCACCTTCCCCCTTGCCGTCGCCCACGCCACTGATGCTGCGGGCGGGGAGGTTCTCACTGTCAACTTCACAGTCAAGGTGCGATCCTCACGAGTCACGTCAACGCCACAGTCGATCGTTCCTTAACGCGTCCCATGACCACCCGTGGTACAAATTTATGCGATGTTATGCACATAGCATAGTGCACATCCTCCCATACAGTGCAGATAGTTGTTCCCGACCCCCCTCTCAACCTTCCACCACACATGTGATGTGCCCATCTCCTCCCTGCGTGCCACCTTTTGCCTGCATGCAGCTGCCCGGAGCGTACAGTGTGATGGTGGTGGTGGCGGACACACAGGGCAACCGCCTCAAGTTCAAGGCGCCCAACTTCTTCCGCTCCGCCATCCCCCTCCCCGCCGCCCTCCTCCCCGCCGCCTCCACGCCGCTCTCCCCCATCATGGCGGCCGCACCTGCAGCGGTGGCGGGGCAGCAGGCGCAGATGGCGTTTGCTCTCGTCAGCTCGGACGGCACGCAGATCCCTGCCACCGACGCTGATGTGATTGTTGCCAGTGTGACAAAAGTGAATGCTGGTGTTGGTACCAGCAGCAGCAACAGCAGCAGCAGCGGTGACAGCGGCGGTGGTGGGGAGGGCAGTGAGTGGGGGGAGGGGCCATCGGGGGTGGGAGTGGAGGTGGATGGGGCCTCAGGGCTCATCGTCCTGCGCTTCACCCCACCCTCTCACGGCGACAACTCCCCCACCCTCTCCCTCATCCGCGCCCAGCAGACCATCAATCTCCAAAGCCCTTCACCCTCACCCACCTCCTCTTCCGCTTCCTCTGCTGCCTCGTCCGCGCCCTCCTCTCCCTCCTCCTCCTCCTCCTCCTCCTCCTCCTCCTCCTCCTCCTCCTCCTCCTCCTCCTCCTCCTCCTCCTCCTCCTCCTCCTCCTCCTCCTCCTCCTCCTCCTCCTCCTCCTCCTCCGTGCTCCTACAAGTAGCACCAGGCGAGCCCAGTGGGGACGCCTCAGGGCCGCTGCTGGTGGCGGCACAGGAGGTGGCGGTGGGGCAGACGGGGCGCCTCACAGTGTACGTGTGCGACGCCATGGGCTCCGACCTGCCCGCCGAGCCCCTCCTCTCGCTCTTCTCCGCGTCCTTCTCAGTCGCCTCTAACTTCTCCCAGCAGCAGCTCACCTACCCCGCTACCCTCACCCTCTCTGCCGGTGCTCTCTCTCTCGGTGCTTCTCTCAGGCCGGAACATCCGAGGAAGCCCGTTCCCCTTCACAGTGCTCCCCGGCCCTCTGCACCCGCCTTCCTCGCTGCTATACGGGCCAGGGGCGCATGGAGCAGTGCCTAAGTTCCCAGCGTTTCTGCAGCTGCAGCTGTGGGATGCGTGGGGCAACGTGCTGCTGGCAGGGGGCGCAGGGCAGGACGTGCAGGTGGGGGTGGTGCCCGCAGCACAAGGGGCGGCAGCAGCAGCGGCGCTGGTGGGTGCAAGGGGGAATGGAGCGGTGCAGAGGGGTATGCCAGCGGTGGCGGAGGGTACGGCGGTGAGTGTGGTGGACAGCGGCAACGGTTGCTACTCTATCTCCTACCGGGTCACCAAGCCCGGTGCCTACGCTATCCTTGTGACTGTAGGCGATGTGCTCTTGCAGAACGTGACTGTAGCGGCGACCCCAGCAGTGGACGTCAGTGCAGGTAGCGCTGCCGCCCAGCCCACGTGTGTGGTAACCGCATCGCCCGCCTCCGGCCCCATGAAGCAGCTGCTCGCATTCGCACCACCTCTCGTCCAAGCAGGCGCCGCCATGTGGCTGCGCATCGTCGCAGTAGATTCACCAGGAATGGCAGCTGTATCAGACCCTGCTATGCTCTCCGCCAATCTCTCCCTCACTCTACTCTCCACACAGGGGCAAGTGGCTGACATCACTGCCACGCCCGTCGTTCCCTCCTTTGGAGGGAAACTCATCCCTGCGCTGTGGCAAGCGCAGGTGACTGTTCAGGTGGCCGGCAGCTTTGTCCTGATCTGCACGGACTGCCTGGGGCGGGCGAGCAGCATGGTGGTGAAGTCAGGCCGCTGCAGCTACTGCAGGGGGATGCAGTGGGGGGGGACAATGCCTACACGTTCTCCGTGTTTTTCGATGTGGTTTCTGTAGCAAGTTACCATTGTGGGCCGCAAGGCGAGGGTCCGTATTGTACAGTGCCCAGTGCCCACTCGCTTGGCTGCTCCAGTCCGTGTCCCATTTTGTGGCATGCCTGACTGCCTGACTGCCTGACTGCCTTGTTGGCAGGTACGCGAGTGGTTCTATTGAGTATTGGACGGGGTACTACTCAAGCCGGCCAGCCTTCAAGGGCTATGCTCGCATGTGTAGTAGCCTGCTGCAGGTGAGTTGCTGCTTCTGAGTTGCTGCTTCTGAGTTGCTGCATCTGAGTTGCTGCTTCTGAGTTGCTGCGTCTGAGTTGCTGCTTCTGAGTTGCTGCGTCTGAGTTGCTGCTTCTGAGTTGCTGCTTCTGAGTTGCTGCTTCTGAGTTGCTGCGTCTGAGTTGCTGTGTCTGAGTTGCTGCTTCTGAGTTGCTGCTTCTGAGTTGCTGCGTCTGAGTTTCTGCGTCTGAGTTGCTGCGTCTGAGTTGCTGCGTCTGAGTTGCTGCGTCTGAGTTGCTGCGTCTGAGTTGCTGCGTCTGAGTTGCTGCGTCTGAGTTGCTGTGTCTGAGTTGCTGCGTCTGAGTTGCTGCGTCTGAGTTGCTGCGTCTGAGTTGCTGCTTCTGAGTTGCTGCTTCTTAGTTGCTGCGTCTGAGTTGCTGCGTCTGAGTTGCTGCGTCTGAGTTGCTGCGTCTGAGTTGCTGCGTCTAAGTTGCTGCTTCTGAGTTGCTGCGTCTGAGTTGCTGCGTCTGAGTTGCTGCGTCTGAGTTGCTGCGTCTGAGTTGCTGCGTCTGAGTTGCTGCTTCTGAGTTGCTGCTTCTGAGTTGCTGCGTCTGAGTTGCTGCTTCTGAGTTGCTGCGTCTGAGTTGCTGCGTCTGAGTTGCTGCGTCTGAGTTGCTGCGTCTGAGTTGCTGCGTCTGAGTTGCTGTGTCTGAGTTGCTTCTTCTGAGTTGCTGCGTCTGACTTGCTGCGTCTGACTTGCTGCGTCTGAGTTGCTGCTTCTGAGTTGCTGCTTCTGAGTTGCTGCATCTGAGTTGCTGCTTCTGAGTTGCTGCGTCTGAGTTGCTGCGTCTGAGTTGCTGCGTCTGAGTTGCTGCGTCTGAGTTGCTGCGTCTGAGTTGCTGTGTCTGAGTTGCTTCTTCTGAGTTGCTGCGTCTGACTTGCTGCGTCTGACTTGCTGCGTCTGAGTTGCTGCATCTGAGTTGCTGCGTCTGAGTTGCTGCTGCTGAGTTGCTGGAGACATATCACTCTCTGCTGCACCCTCAAGGCAGTGTTCAATCACACAAGGTATTTTCCCTGAAGGTTTGCGCTTGCAGCGCTGCTGTCAAGCAATCAGTGCGCCATCCATACCCCCCCCCCACACCGCTCCCTTCCTCGTCCTTTCCGTGCTCTCCCATTCTGCCCGCTCGATGCTCCTCCCTCCTGCAGGCAGCCACTCGTGGGCTGGGAGAACATGCAAGTGTGCGGAAACAGCACATCCCGCCCATCCTCCTGATTGCCATCCATGCCACATGCCCCCCCTGCCCAACCCACACAGTCCACCCACACCCTCCCTTCTCCCCCAATGCACCCGCCCAGCGCTTCTTGAGCAGGCAGCCACCCTATTGGAAGCATCAGTGGGCCAGGTGAATGTACAGATCTGGTGGATCTACAGGTCTGGTGAATCTACAGGTCTGGTGAATGTACAGGTCTGGTGAATGTACAGGTCTGGTGAATGTACAGGTCTGGTGAATGTACAGGTCTGGTGAATGTACAGGTCTGGTGAATGTACAGGTCTGGGGAAACAACACATCTCGCCTCGTCGTGCCTGCGGTGCTCCCCTCTCCACCAACCTTACTGCCATCCACGCCCCGTCGCCCCCGCCCTCCTTCCTTCACACCCCTCTTCATCCCTCCATCTCCTCCCTTCCACCCTCTCGCTCGATGCTCTTCGTGCCGGCAGCCACGCTACTGGAAGCATCAGTGGGCAGGTCCAACCTCCAAGCGTGGGGGAACCAAACCTCCCGCCTTGTGGTGCCCGTGCTGCTCTCCACCAACCTCTCTGCCATCCACGCCCCCTCGCCCCTGCCCTCCCATACACCCCTCCACATCCGTCCATCTCCTCCTTTCCATGCTCACATTGCTCGTCCTGCAGGCAGCCATGCTCCTAGAAGCATCAGTGGGCAGGTCCATTTTACAAGGGTGGGGTAACCAAACCTCCCGCCTCATGGTGCCCGTGCAGCTCTCCACCAACCTCTCTGCCATCCACGCCCCCTCGCCCCCGCTGTCCCGTCTCGCCTCGACGTTCCCTCTGGAGGAGGCAGTGGCAGTGGCACAGCACCACAATGCCATCACGGGCACGGCAAAGCAGCACGTGAATGATGATTACACGCTGCAACTGTACAGAGGAGCACAAGAGGTGAGCGGAAGGAACAAGTGGAAGTAGGGGAACGGGGGGGGGGATGGTGGGGCAGGTAGGGTATGGTATGGTATGGGGTAGGGGCCATTGGGAACGGAGGAGGCAGTGGCAGTGGCACAGCACCATGATGCCATCACGGGCATGGCAAAACAGCTTGTGAATGACGACTACACGCTCCAGCTGTACAGAGGAGTGCGGGAGGTAAGGTGTGTGTGTGGGGTAGGTAGGGGCCATTGGGAATAGGGAGATTTGGAGGAGGAGGCAGTGGCAGTGGCACAGCACCTTGATGCCATCACGGGCACGGCAAAACAGCATGTGAATGATGATTACACGCTGCAGCTGTACAGAGGAGTGCGGGAGGTGAGAGGAAAGGAAGGAACGAGTGGAAGTATGGGGGAACCGTGGGAAGTATGGTGGAATGATGATTACACGCTGCAGCTGTACAGGGGAGCAGGAAGTAGGACGCGCGAGGTATGGGGCGTTGGGCATGATGAGCACACGCTGCGACCCTACAGGGGAGCACAGGAGGTGAGAACATGGAGGCGGTGTGAGCCAGGATGGGTGTGGTGTGGGGGAGAGAAGCTCGCGAGCAGCAACCAAACGCGTTGACTTTGCTGCACCGAGGTGGGGAAGGGCGTGAGTGGGGTAGAGAGCACTGTGAATGAGCGTTTGAAGAAACAGTGGCCGTGCAGCTTCCATTGGAAGCTGTAATTGAGTAAAATAGCAACTTGCTTTCCTACTCTATCTGCACCCTTACCACCCTCCCTCTTCCTCCCTTTCCCGTTGCTCCCTCCTGCACCCCATGCAATTGTAATCCCTCTATCCCCCCACGCTGCAGGCGTCTGCGATAGTGACTTCGTCCCTCGCTCACCTCATCACTCAGGGCGCACTGGACCTCAACCCGCTGCTGTTTCCACTCCTGCTGCTCCTGCTGCTCGCACCACAGTACAACCTGCTGCTCCTGCCGAGACACTCTATAATGAGACAGAGAATCTGGGAAACAGAGGCACAGAGGGAGCGCTGACGCTTGGACTGGACTTCCAGCTGGTAATCTATCTTGGTGTTCCACCCTCTGTCCCTCTCCCTGTATTTATCTCTTGAGCATTTGCTCAACACGTGTGCATCATATGCGCATCATATTCGTTTCGAATTGTCCCATCAAATGAGCATCTTGCATGCATAGCATCTTGCATGCATAGCATCTTGCATGCATAGCATCTTGCATGCATAGCATCTTGCATGCATAGCATCTTGCATGCATAGCATCTTGCATGCATAGCATCTTGCATGCATAGCATCTTGCATGCATAGCATCTTGCATGCATAGCATCTTGTATGCATAGCATCCTCTCATCCATCCCGCTCCCCTCCCTCTAATTCACTCTCTACCCAGCTGTCCCTTCGTCTTGCAATGCAATGCCCCTTGCTCATATTTCTTACTGCTCTCCCACTCACCACACCATTCCTCATTGTCCCTCCCCTCCCCCTCACTTGCAGTGCCCGCTACTCAACATCTCCTACTGCCCACCCACGCACCACCCCATCCCCCACGGCACCACACTGGTACTGTGCTCTGAACCGCACCATTGTTGCCTCGTTTGGTCAATTCCTCCTCTACCTTTGGCCCATGCATCAATCAGCCCTCATTTGCGCCTTCATCAGATTGCATCGAGTTGTTGATGAAACTCGATGCATCAATCAACTTGATGCAATCTCTTCTGATAAGAAGGCATGTGTGCTTGAGGAGCCGTGGCGTGGAGTGCCTTTGCTGGCCCAAGCTGGTTCAGCCGACCCACACCCCATATGACTACCCCATCCCCACACACTCTCGCTAATGCCATGCCATGCCCATGCCCATTCTCATGCCCACACCCATGCCCACGCCCATGCCCATGCACTCCACTGCCCATGACTATGGCCAGGTCATTGCTGCGTACAACCCACTCGGTTGGGCCCGAGACGAGATAATCCGCATTCCCGTGAGTGCAAGGCAACCCGCAAGTGGAACGGAATGGAGCCCCATTGTTTGACACCCGTCTTTGCTCTTTCTCCCTGTTGTTTGTCCTTCTATTCCCCAGTCACGCCCCCCACTCTTCCCCCCCTAACCCCTTCCTACTTCCTTTCCCATCATTTCCCCTTTCTGCGCCTGAAAACCCTATTGCACAATTTTCCCTTTCCGCCTCTCCTTTTCGTTTGTTCTCTGTCAAGCCCACCCCTTTACCATCTTCCACCTTTCCACCACCTCCCTTTCCGCGACACCTTCCCAATCCTCTAGACTAGACATCCTCCGTTCCAGTCACTTCGACGGATGCTCAGTGCAACACTAGTCCCTCACCAGTCTATTCCTGACATCCTACCATCCTTCTTTTGTCATGTTCAATAGCACAATTCACTCCTCTCCTTCCGGGCCCCCCAGGTGTCATCCCCTTCAGTCATTGTAACTGACGACCATGGCAATGATGTTCCCTCACAGGCCATTCCCGAGGTCCTACCAGCCTACGTTTGCTACAAATCGAACCATCATATTCACTCTCCTCCTCCCCGCCCCCCCAGGTCTCCTCCCCTGCAGTCATTGTGACTGATGACCATGGTAACGTGGTCCCCTCACAGGCCATTCCCGAGGTCCTGGTGCCGTGGGAAACTAGAAAGAGGTACATCAGCGTACAGGTGGGTGAGGAGGCTGTGAAGGGGGGCGAGGAGGGGTTGGGGGGGGTTGAGGAGAAGGTGGAAGGGAGCAAGGAGGGGGTGAGAGGAGGCAAGGAGAAGCGAGGGAGGTAGGTGAGGGAGGCGCAGCAGCAGCAGCAGCAGCAGCAGCAGGAGCAGGAGGAGGAGGAGGAGCGGGAGGATTAGCAGCAGCAGCAGAAGAAGAAACAGCAGCAGCAGCAGCCGCAGAAGCAGCAGCAGGAGAAGCAGGGGGGCGTGGTGGTGTCTGTGGTGTTCCGTCCCAGGGTGCCACCCCTGGGCTACTCCACCTTCTTCCTCTCCCCAGCTCCCCCCCATACGCCCGGCGCTGCTGTACAGAGCACTCGGTGGCAGGCACGTGTGCAGCCGGGAGGTGTGGCCGGGGAGTGGGGGAACGCAGAGGAGGAGGCGGGTGAAGGGGAGGAGGAAGGAGGACGGGGGGTTGAGGGTGGGGAGGGGAAGGAAGGAGGGGGGGGAGGGGGAGGGGGTGGAGAGAGAAAGTGTGGTCGAAGAGGAGGAGAGTGAAGGGGTTGGTGGTGGTGATGTGATTGTGTTGGGAGGATGGCATGGGGTGACTGCTGCCGATGGTGCCCCTGCTGCTGGTGCTGCTGCTGCTAGTGATGGGAAGCATGGTACCGGCTCTGGGAGCACAGCAGCGAGGGGACTGACCGCACCGAGAGTGTTGCGAGTGCACTTCTCCAAGGCCAGATACGGCATGGCTCGCCTGCAGCTGATTGGCTGCAGTGAGGAGGGAAACGAATCAGTGGTAAGATGCTGCGCTGCTAATTGGTTCTCTGCATGTTGATTTCTGTTGCCTCTGCTTTCTTGCCCATGGCCTTCGTCTTCTTCTTGTGAGTCCTTCGTGCATCTGTCCATCCATGCTCGCTTGCTTTGCTCATCAGACATCCTTCGCTTCTGTTGTTGCAGCTTTCGGACGAGCAAGAGGGCACGGGCATGGGTGTCTACATTTCAAAACACGTGCGTTCATGGGTGTCTACACCTTAAAAAGGCCACTTTACTCACCGCTCTCCTACCTTCCTTCCTCCTCCACCTCTCCCCACTCTTCTACTCCACCCACCACCCCAAACTCCCTCCGTGCAACATCCCTTTTCCTCCCTACATTCTTCTTACTCTCCTTTTCCTCCCGTCCATGTTTATCTGTTTCCAACCGGCAGTGCCACTCTCCGTGCCACTCTCCATGCCAGTTCTCATACCATACCATTCGCCCTACACTCCACCACGCCATGGCAGGCATCAGGGGCATACATCTTCAACCCCCCCCATGCAGCCGTGTCTGCCCAGAACATGAGCCAACAGGCAAGTGCCGCCAGCGCTACGACCACACCGAACAATCCCTCAAGAGCAACACAAGAAGCGATGAACGCTTGTAAAGCACAGCTTGCACGCTCGGTGACATGGCCGAGCAAGCTAGCGCACAATGAGTACTCTAAACCCGAATAGTGCGACATCACTGACGCACTCAGTGCCCTGACACGCTCAGTGCCCTGACACGCTCAGTGCCCTGACATGCTCTGAATCCATCATAACCCACATGCTCCACACTCATCCCTACTGCCGCCGCCATCCCTCGCTGCATTCACTCCCTTCTCCCATCACTCAGGTGCCAATCCGAGTGCTGCGAGGGCCGCTGGTGGAGGAGTTTCATCGATCACTGGCGCCGTGGCTATCCGAGGTGGGTGGCTGGCACAGGTGGGTGGGTGGTTGGTGTTGTGGAAGCAAGAATGTCCCAGTGGGTACCTTTGGTCTTAGTGGTCGCGGGTTCAACTCTCATCGGCAGCACCTTCTCTTCTCATTATACCGAACATGACACTCCCACACTCCACCACACTCACCCACAGTGAAGTGTGGTCACAGTTGGCATTGCCATCTGTCCACCCATCCCATACTCACCTTGTTGGCTCCTATGGTGTGCCACATGCTGCCATGTAGGCTGTTGTTCCAGCCTGGCCCACATGTGCAACATGTGGCCTCAATTGCTAGCTTGGCAAGGTTGGCTAGCCCTGCCCTCAGCTTTGAGGTGCTGCAGCTAGCCTCAAGAGTTCAGCCACATAAATGTGGCTTCCCACTTCTCTAGAACTCATCCTTGGAAAGGACATTGCTCTAGCCTTTCAGGCTTGTACCATCTTCCTACTAAGGATATATTGTTCTTCTCTCATTGTGCCTCAAGTTCACCGATCCTCATTCTACAGTTGGCACAGGTGGGTGGGTGGTTGTTGGGGGTGACTTTTGAGTCGACTCAATAGTTGATCCGAGTGCTGCAATGCGATGCGAGGGCCTTTAGTGGAGGAGTTTCACCGAACACTGGCGCCATACCTGTCAGAGGTGGGCGGGTGGCAGAGGTGGGCGGGTGGCAGAGGTGGGCGGGTGGCTGAGGTGGGCGGGTGGCAGAGGTGGGCGGGTGGCAGAGGTGGGCGGGTGGCAGAGGTGGGCGGGTGGCAGAGGTGGGCGGGTGGCAGAGGTGGGTGGGTGACAGAGGTGGGTGGGTGGCAGAGGTGGGTGGATAGCAGTGGTGAGTTAGTTGGTGCGCTAGTTGGAGAGCTCTCTGCTTCATCTTCAACTCTTTCTTGCACGGATTGATCCCCTTGCATGCTCGACGGGTGCCATGACCTTGTTGGTTCAGAAAAAGCTGTGCCCTGCACTGGCTTGGTACCGGCAGCACTGATATGCCATTGCTGCATCTCTCCCGAATCCCCCCCACTGCCCTACAACCTGTGTGGCTTGTTTTACAGGTCATTCGAGTGTATCCAGGGCAAGACTATGCAGAGATGCATTACATGGTGGTGAGATGCATAACATGGAGAGATGCATAACATGTTGAGATGCATTACATGGTGAGATGCATAACATGGTGAGATGCATAACATGGTGAGATGCATTACATGGTGAGATGCATAACATGGTGAGATGCATAACATGGTGAGATGCATTACATGGTGAGGTGCATTACATGGTGAGATGCATAACATGGTGAGATGCATTACATGGTGAGATGCATAACATGGTGAGATGCATAACATGTTGAGATGCATAACTTGGTGAGATGCATTACATGGTGGGATGCATTACATGGTGAGATGCATTACATGGTGAGATGCATAACATGGTGAGATGCATAACATGTTGAGATGCATAACATGGTGAGATGCATTACATGGTGGGATGCATTACATGGTGAGATGCATAACATGGTGAGATGCATTACATGGTGAGATGCATAACATGGTGAGATGCATAACATGGTGAGATGCATTACATGGTGAGATGCATTACATGGTGAGATGCATAACATGGTGAGATGCATTACATGGTGAGATGCATAACATGGTGAGATGCATAACATGTTGAGATGCATAACATGGTGAGATGCATTACATGGTGGGATGCATTACATGGTGAGATGCATAACATGGTGAGATGCATTACATGGTGAGATGCATTACATGGTGAGATGCATAACATGGTGAGATGCATTATATGGTGAAAGCATTACATGGTGAGATGCATTACATGGTGAGATGCATTACATGGTGAGATGCATTACATGGTGAGATGCATTACATGGTGAGATGCATTACATGGTGAGATGCATTACATGGTGAGATGCATGCCATGCCATGCCATGCCATGCCATGCCATGCCATGTCATGCCATGCCATGCCATGCCATGCAATGCCATGCCATGCCATGCCATGCGATGCCATGCCATGCGATGCCATGCCATGCCATGCCATGCCATGCCATGCCATGCCATGCGATGCCATGCCATGCCATGCCATGCCATGCCATGCCATGCCATGCCATGCCATGCCATGCGATGCCATGCCATGCCATGCCATGCCATGCCATGCCATGCAATGCCATGCCATGCGATGCGATGCCATGCAATGCCATGCCATGCACATCATTATCTGGTGGGGCCTGTGCCCACGAAGCCCTTTGTGGGTCGCGAGGTGGTCGCTCGATTCGCCTCCTCCCTTGCCTCTGCTGGAGCACTGTTCACAGACTTGCAAGCCCGCGACTACCTGCGCCAGGTGAGAGCAATGTGCATGGACCTCACACCACGCGGGTGCACTGCCTGCTAAGGCTCTTTTCACCATGCTGTGCCATGTGCCCTGCTGTGCCATGCGCTGTGCCGTGCTGCAGCATGGCATGCCGTTTCTCCAACTGTTAGGGTTGGTTCGCCCAACCATGGAACCTACGGCGAAATGCGGAATGGAAGCGCGTGGGACATTCTAGATCTAAAACGGTGGAAATCGGCCTACGATGAAGAATGGAAGCTACGGTGTGAGAAGCGGGAGAGAAATCGAGAAGGAACCAGAGAAATGGAGGAAGAAAAGGGGAGAAGTATCGAGAATGAGATTGACGAGGGAAATTTGTGGTTCGAGACCAAGGCGCGTTCGAGAAGGTTCTGGATTCGGACTTGAGGAGTGTTCACCGAATTCGGTTCGGTTGCGTGTGCGACTCGGGGTGGAACGAGGCGCACGCGGTTACTTGGGAAACAAGTGAAGTTACGAATCGCATTTGTGTCTTGCCTGACTATAAACCTGTTTGTACTCATTCTGGAAATACAACATTGACAACATTGAGATTCTGAAAATTGCTGAAGTGTGTATTGACAACTTCAAGCAGAGCTGCGCATATCATTGGATTCGTGAGATTGTGGAGAACACGATAAGCAATAGCAAGTATACTATTGCCGACTAAGGCATTTACGATCCTGAGAACTGGTATCAGAGCTTGGCGAACGAGCGCGTCGATCGTCGTGAATTCACTTGGTGCGCTAAGTGAGATTAGTGGAGAAGAGGAGTCGTTCACGCCTACGCCATGGGAGACGAGGCGAGTTCGGGTTCCAGTGTGAGTCTTGGAGACCTGCAGTTGAAGGCTCTTCTCGAGGCCCTTGCGAGTGGCCGATTGGTGGCGAAACCAACGTTCGGGCTCAGTGAAGCCCAGCGCTTCAACGGGAGCAACTACAACTTGTGGCAGAAGAAGTTCATTTGAAGGGCAGAGGAGGTGGACCTCTTGCTGTACTACCATCCCGACGAGGAGACAATGGAGGGAGTTGCGCCTTCCACGACGGATACGAAGGAGAAAATAGCGGCGTTTTAAAAGCTAAGTAAGCAATCTTTCTTTCAGCTTTGTCATTCAGTTGCCGATGGAATCGCGGTGGATTTGGACCAGTTTGTAGGGGAGCTGAACTCTGCACAGAAAGCATGGGAGTACCTGGAGTCCACGTACGTGGGTACGAACGATGTCAACAAGAAGGAGATCAGGAAGCATCTGCTGATGCTGAGCATGGAGAAATGCGAGAAAATCATCACATACATCAACAGGGCAAAAAGCTACAACGATGATTTGCGGGTGATGGGAGCCGCGGAGACGGAGCATGAGATGATTGATTACATCATCCAAGGTCTTCCTAAGGAGTGGGAATCCGACATCGGTACGTTTACCTACCAACCGCCGGAGAGTTTGACGAAGCTGCAGGAGATTCTACAGTCGCTTGAGACAGTAAAAGAGACGAGGAAAAAGAAAGCGGCAGCAGCAGCTACAAAATTCGACGAGGAGAGGCCGGCTTTGATGAATGCAACTAAGGCCTTTGGGGCGTGCTACCAATGTGGAAAGCGCAGTCATAAAGCGATAAACTGCTACGAAAATCCGCGAAGCAGAAACTACAAGGGCGAAGTTGTGGAGAACGATAAAGGAGAAAACAAGGGAGCGGAGTGGCAGCAGAAACGAGGTTTTGGTGGAAAGTGTGATTATTGTGGGCGCTACGGACATCGTGCCGCAGAGTGCTACTCCAATCCGAATAGCAGGAGCTACAAAGGTCCGTCACAGCAGCAGAGGAATGTGGCGGCAAAGGCGAATGTAGCGGAAACAGAAAAGGAGGATGCGATTTTGGGAGGAGCGCATCGTGCAAACGTGGTGCGTTTACCAAAGGAGCTTCGTCAGACGGACGGGCGTGAAAAGACGGCATGGTTCATGGACAGCGGATGCACGTGTCACATGACATTCAGGTCAGATTGGATGGAGAATGTGAGGGAGTCGAGTGAGCGTTATATATTGCAAAGTAACAGTGGGAAGTTACCAGTGACAGGAGAGGGTGACGTGGTGCTGCAGAGTCAATATGGAGAGATGAAACTGGAGGGTGTGTTGTTGGTTGAGGATTTGAAGGTGAATTTGATGAGTTAGTCACAGCTTGATGAGTTGGGGTGCAAGATATTCTATGACAGTGGCGAGGTTACTGTGTTTGGTCCTGAGTGGGAAAAGTATGCGGATGGCTACTTCAGTGACGGGTTCTATGAGATAAACTTGATCGCGATGAACGATAAGGATGAGATTTATGAGGATCCTGAGTATGGTGAGATGGGAGAATTCGAAGAGTTATCGGTTGAGGTTGATGAGAGTGAGGACTCAAAGGATACGGCAGCAAGTGTTGAGGCAGCAGTGAAGCAGAAAGAGGAGATACTCGCCATAGGGGCAGCAGAAGTGAATGGTGGAGATGGAGATGGTGTCAACACTTTTGCAGCAGCGATCGTGGTTGAAGATGAAGCAGTAAATGCGAAGTGTGTGGGAGTCGCTGTGAAAGGGGACATCATGGTGAAGGGATCAAAGGCGAATGCAACTGCAAAGGGGCGAGTGCTTACGAAAGAGGAACACGTTGAGGGGTATGAGACCCAAGAGGTGTTGGGTTCTAAAATGCCAAGGAGAAGCGAGAGGCTCAAGAAAATCTCTCAAGGTTTGGTGTAAAGGCGCTCAACTTCAAGACATGTAAGCAGAGGTTCAAGGTGCATGAGCTGCAGGGGAGCGTGAAGCCGACTTAGACCCTGTGAAGGCTACAAGGAGCAGGGGAGCAGTGCAAGTGGAGTTCAAGGTTGACGAACCACAGGGGAGATTGTTAGGCTTGGTTCGCCCAACCACGGAACCTACGGCGAAATGCGGAATGGAAGCGCGTGGGACATTCTAGATCCAAAACAGTGGAAATTGGCCTATGGTGAAGAATGGAAGCTACGGCGTGAGAAGTGGGAGAGAAATCGAGAAAGAACCAGAGAAATGGAGGAAGAAGAGGGGAGAAGTATCGAGAATGAGATTGACGAGGGAAATTTGTGGTTCGAGACCAAGGCGCGTTCGAGAAGGTTCTGGATTCGGACTTGAGGAGTGTTCACCGAATTCGGTTCGGTTGCGTGTGCGACTCGGGGTGAAACGAGGCGCACACGGTTACTTGCGAAACAAGTGAAGTTACGATTGCATTTTGTGTCTTGCCTGACTATAAACCTGTTTGTACTCATTCTGGAAATACAACTATGACAACATTGAGATTCTGAAAATCGCTGAAGTGTGTATTGACAATTTCAAGCAGAGCTGCGCATATAATTGGATTTGTGAGATCGTGGAGAACACGATAAGCAATAGCAAGTATACTATTGCCGACTAAGGCGTTTACGATCCTGAGACCAACAACCACGCCCCTCCTGAACCCTGTCATCCCTCCCCATGCTATCTGCCTCCAATGCCGCCACGCCCATCAGGTGCGCAACCATCGCCTGGATTGGAACCTCACCGTCTACCAGCCTATTGCTGGCAACTTCTACCCTGTCAGTCACTGCTCTCAGGTGACCGGGCGGCATGCATGGGTGGCGTGTTTTGGCTGCAGGTGTGGGTGGGCTTATGACTCGTGTGCGGGCATGTGCATGCGTGGGGGGGGCGGGTGGGCGAGCATGTGCGTGCGTGCAGTGCAGATGGTGGTGTTGCATTGCATGGTCGTGCAGATAGGTGGCATAGCGGTTTGTATATTGCATGACAGATGTTTGCATATGTTTTATGTACAAGTTATCACAGGCTACCTTGTTTCATGTCACATCCTAAGATCATGTTGCACGCAAACAGAATGTTACATGCAAACAGAATGTTACATGCAGACAGCGCCACATGCACCACATGCAGACAGCATGCCACGCTTGTCTGCTCTGCAGCTATATTCAAGGGCTAGGCCATGGGTTTCTCACACTCGCCTGCCCTAGACCAACGTGTCCTAGGTTTCCTCTATCCTCCTCCATCCTCCTCCATCCTCCTCTATCCTCCTCCATCCTCCTCCATCCTCCTCCATCCTCCTCCATCCTCCTCCATCCTCCTCTATCCTCCTCCATCCTCCTCCATCCTCCTCCATCCTCCTCTATCCTCCTCCATCCTCCTCTCTCCTCCTCTGTCCCCCTCTCCCCTCCTCTCGCCTCCTCTGCCCTCCTCATCCACAGCTCACAGCAGGGGCATTCATCGCCGACAGCACCGCCCAGCTCTCGCTGCTGGTTGGTTTTTAAGCTCTCTGTGCATCGTCTATCCTCCCCTGCTTCCCCATCCTCCCATGCCCGCCCACAGCTCACAGCAGGGGCATTCATCGCCGACAGCACCGCCCAGCTCTCGCTGCTGGTGGACTGCCCACTGGGGGCCTGGCAGACGGGCAGATCGAAGTCATGCTGCACCGGTGAGCATTGGGGGGACGTGGGCGTGGGCTGTGGTGTAGTCAGCAGGACTGACAGCACGTGGCTTGTGGTGAAGGCAGCAGGACTGACTGACAGCACCGTGGCTTGTGAGTTGACTCAAAGAGCCTTCCTGCTGGTGGACCAACCGGCCTCTGGGGCGGCCAGCCTGGCAGACGGGCAGATAGAAGTCATGCTGCACCCGTGAGCGCTGAGGCGGTGTGGGCGTGGCATGTGGTGTAGTTTACGCGTGGCTTGTGAGTCGACTCAAGAGGTACAGTGCTGGTGGACCGGCCACTGGGGGCAGCGAGCCTGGAAGGCAGGCAGCTGGAAGTGATGCTGCACCGGTGAGTGCTGAGGAGGCGTGGCTTGTGCCGAGGGGCAGCAGCAGGAGTGACGCCACGTTGGCTTGTGAGTCGACTCAAGAGCCTTGTGAGTCGACTCAAGAGCCTTGTGAGTCGACTCAAGAGCCTTGTGAGTCGACTCAAGAGCCTTGTGAGTCGACTCAAGAGCCTTCCCTGCTGGTGGACCGACCGACCACTGGTGGCGACGAGTCTGGCAGACGGGCAGATCAAAGTCATGCTGCACCGGTGAGCATTGGGGAGGTGTGGGCGTGGGTTGGGGAGTCAGTAATAGCACCGCCTCTGTGCACCGTCCACTAGAGGCAGCCAGCCAGGCAGACGGACAGCTGGAAGTGATGCTGCAGGGTGAGTGCTGAGGCGTGGCTTCATGTGCCATGAGCCCGCATTACTGTAGTTTCATGGTGATGTTTTTAGTCTTGAGGTGTAGTTTTGGAGAGAAGGTATAAGCCCCTGTGTGTTTGTTTACACCGCCAACCACCACTCTTTCCGTCCCTGTTTCTTCCCTCACACAGACCCACTCACTGCTCCTTCTCTCACTCCCTCACACCTCTCTCTCCCCTGCGCACTTGTCCCTCTCAGGCCCATAATTTCAAACAGTGGGAAGGGCGTGTGGGGGAGGGTTGGGGGGTCTGTCTGCCTCTTGGTCACATGATTTCAGACGCTTGGATTGCATATGATTCCTAAAACATATGATTCCTAAAAATCTCATACAAACAGAAAATTTCCATCAAAGGAATTTCACAAGTCATGCATCTTCCTGCCTCCCTGCCAGGCGCATGATCTCAGACGACGGCAAGGGCGTGGCGGAGGTGCTTGATGAGAAGGTCTGCGACTCCCATGACAGCTGCACTCCCCTTGCTGTGAGTGCATGGCACGTCACACTGACTGCACCCTCCCCTGGCCATGAATGCATGGCATAGCATGGCATGGCACAATGCAATAGGCAATGTGGGCTTTGCCCTTTCACGCATTCATGTTCTGGAGTGGAATATTCAGCAGGTGGCAACAGCAAGTAAGCGTGTCCTCCATTCCGCATCTTCTTGGATATTGGGACTTTGACGTTTGTGAATATGATCTCAATTTATCACAAGCAAGTTTCTGTAGTGATGTTTTTTTTGTGCTTTTCTCGTGTGTGCCCCACTGCCCATCGCCATCACGCCATTGCCCTCATGCCACGGTGCTCGTGCTTCTGCTCTCGTGCTTCTGCCCCAGGTGGTGGGATTTATTCGCTTTGCTCTGCATCCCAGCGCTCCCAGTGACACTGACTGCTACGGCGGGGATCCTGGCCATGCAGGGGATTCCGGTTCAGGTGCAGCTGCAGGCGCTTCCAGTATTGATGCACTCAATAACGAGGACAGTGTAGTCAGAGGCTCAGAGGAGTGGTTGTCAGAGGATTCTGTTGCAGTAAACGATTCTGCCAGTATAGTGGATTCTGGTAAAGTAGCGGATGCTGCCAGTAATGGAGCAGTCAATAGCGAGGACAGGGAGTGGGCTTCAGGAAATCGTGGCGGTGCAGCAGGTGCTGCTGCGGACTCGGAAGAAATCCAACCGCCGTCCGGCCGGCGAAAGCTGGGCAGCAAAGACAAGAGGCATGAAAGGCTGGGCAGCAAAGGGAAACGTAAAAGGGGGAGGGAGGAGAAGGAGAGGGGCGAAGCGGCAGGGGGTGGAGTGAGGGAGGGTGGGGGGAAGGGGGGTGTGAGGGGCGAGGCGGCCAGGTGGAGGAAGGAGCACGCAGAGAGAATGGTGTCACCACTGCAACTGGCGTTTGCACGTGAGGTGAGAGGTGAACAGAGGTGAAGTGAGGTGAAGAGTAAGTGAAGAGAAGTGAACGGAGGTGAAGAGGGGTAAAGGGAAGTGAAAAGTAAAGGCATTTGTCTCTCTGTCATGCTTGTTTTTTATTCCTTTCGGTGGATTTGTGGTGCTTGCTACTCGCATGGCGCATGACAGACGGCACATGACGCACGGCACATGGCGCATGGCGCATGGCACATTGCACATGGCATATGACACATGGCACATGGCACATGGCGCACGGCGCATGACACATGGCAGGAAACAAAGGCACTGAAGGCAGCACAGGGCATGAGATGGACGTACTCCCTCTCGCACATGCCTCAAGAAGGCGGCCAAGAGGTCAAACAAGGGCGCCACCAGGGCAACACGCCGTCGCCCTACCACCTCCCTCCAAACGTTGCCATTGTCTCGCTACAGGTAGGTGCTGGTGTTGGAAGCACACATACCACTCAGGTAGGTGCTGCTGGTGGAAGCACACATACCATTCAGCCTCACCAATGTGCCTTCTGCTCGCTACTGCCTTCTGGAACGCCCCTGAAGCAGTGTGGCTTTGGTTAGCCATCCGCTTCATCTTCCATTTCGTCCTCCGCTTTCATCATGCAATCAAATCCTTTTTGAGTCGTTGTGCACTGTACGAGGGCTCATCTGAACAACTGTTTTGTGTTTCGGACAGATCAGCGTGCAAACCAGTCTATATCGCCCTCTCACCCACCCGGTCGTGCTCAGGCAGATCAGCAGGTTTGTGTGTGGAGTTACCTGGTGGTGTTCACTCCCCCTCTCACCCACCCACCCTCTATCCCCTCTCGACTGAAAACCATTTTTTCGCCTTACATGTCACCACAGGAGCTAGCACCCAATGAGGTGACAGTCCGATTTGCACATCTGTACGAGGTACGCCTGTGACGGCTTTGATCCGTGCCCTGCCAGTGTTCTTTAGGCTGTGACGCGTGCCTTGCCTGTGTGCTTAGGCTGTGACGCGTGCCCTGTGTGCTTGAGGTGTGCTTATGCGCTAGCTTACAAGATACACCAGTGCCCCCACCTCTCGCACTTGCGGACGCTTCTTATTTCGTGATGCTCCTCATTTCGTGATGCTGCTCATTTCGTGATGCTTCTCATTTCGTGATGCTCCTCATTCCGTGATGCTCCTCATTCCGTGATGCTCCTCATTCCGTGATGCTGCTCATTCCGTGATGCTCCTTATTCCGTGATGCTCCTCATTCTGTGATGCTCCTCATTCCGTGATGCTCCTCATTCCGTGATGCTGCTCATTCTGTGATGCTGCTAAACCCCGTCCCCCCTCCCAACCACAGAGCCCATGCATGTCACCTCACTGTCTTGTGTTTCATCGCCCAAACCCTGAAATTATTAATTCCAATACCTCTCACCGAACCTTGCACTTTCTGGTACCTGCCATTCTCCACACCTGCGACTTACCATACCTGCTGTTCACCACACCTACCACTCCCCTTACCCTGCCTCTCTACATTACCCCTCCCAGGCCAAGGAGCATCCCCAGCTGTCCAGCCTAGCCTCTGTTCATCTCCCTTTGCTCTTCGCCTCACGAAAGGTGCGCCACTGCTGATTGCTCTTGTGATCATCAAACTGCTATGTCCAGTTGTTCCCATGTTACTCTACCGCTCTCATACTTTTCTGGCACGTATGCGTGCCAAATCAAATCTGTCTGCGTAGATCAAGGAAGTCACCGAGCTAAATCTTTTCGCAAGCCAGAAACGGTCCGAGATGCGTCCACCAATGGAGTGGCGTGTGGAGGGAGATGCTGCTGGTGGGCATGGCAAGCAGAGAGAGGTAAGAGCCGGCGAATCAAGCGAATCGAGCAGGAAGGAGCATGATGTGAATTCACCACTTTTAGGTGGCCCGATCGACCCTCGTGACCTGGTTCTTGAGTTAGGCCCCATGGAAATTCGAACTCTTACCATCTCCTTCCATTGAGATTCACACTGCTGGCAATGAAAATGTGGAACTGCCAACCAGGAAATCTCAACACAGCAACGGATGCCATGAATTTGGCACCATCTACAGAGTACACCCACTTCATTCCAAACAACACTGTCAACATACATTGGTAGGTGTACATTGTTAGGCTAGGTTGGGTTGTACTGTAGAGGGTATGGTTTGCTACTTGTAATCTCTTGTATGCCCAGCTCTAGTCATTCTATGTTTCTGACGTGGTATTACGCTTAGGTTAGGTCGCACGCTTCCGCCCCACCTAACCACCTACCTACCTAGATCACCCTAGCACCCAGCCTGCCCCCTCTAGCGCCCTGCCGCTCACCTACTGCCGTGCGCCTGCTGCCGCGCACCTGTTGCAGCACGCTTACGCGCCTACTGCGTGCCCTGCTGCCGCACACCGTGCTGCCATGCGCCCTCCTGGCACGCGCCTGCGCACCCTGCTGCCATGCGCCCTCCTGGCACGCGCCTGCGCACCCTGTTGCCATGCGCCCTCCTGGCACGCGCCTCCGCACCCTGCTGCCATGCGCCCTCCTGGCATGCGCCTGCGCACCCTGCTGCCATGCGCCCTCCTGGCACGCGCCTGCGCACCCTGCTGCCATGCGCCCTCCTGGCACGCACCTCCGCACCCTGCTGCATGCGCCCTCCTGGCATACGCCTGCGCACCCTGCTGCCACGCGCCCTCCTGGCACGCGCCTGCGCACCCTGCTGCCACGCGCCCTCCTGTTTGCCTGCGTACCCTGCTGCCATGAGTCTTCCTGTCATGTGCCTGTGCACCCAGCTGCCGCGTGCCCTGCTGTTACGTGCATGCGCACCCTGCTGCCGCGCGCCCTACTGTTACGCACATGCGCACCCTACTGTTGCGTGCCCTGCCGAGCCCTATTGTGCACCCTGTCATGCCCCTATCGTGCCATGGCGCGCGCTCGCGTGCCTTGCTGTGCACCCGCAAGTCCTGTCGCGCTCTGCTGCCTGATGACCGAGCGAGTGCAGTTCACTAGGCCGTGATGGCGAAGGAGTGCTTGCATGCTATTACTGCTTGTTACTCCACCCCCCTCATCTGCTACTATATGCCACCTTGTCATGCCTTTCCTCTTTTGTAATCTCCCTGTGTTCTCCACTGTCACTGACCTCATTGCCCGCCTGCGCTCATTTGATACTAGGTTTCGCGCTGCTCTCGCTCCTGTCCAGCTTGCTAACCAGCCCCCTCCCTTATTTATCTCACCTTGCACCTCCTCGCGATCCAACTCCCTGACCGCCTCGCGCCCGCTCACGACACCCTCCTAACCATGCACCCCTATCACCTGCCTCCACACCATCGCCTCCACCACTGGCGCAGTAGTCCCCCCATCTTTGAGGGGTGCCTTCCCCAGCTCCCTACCTCCATTGCCTCTGCTGATGTTGCTGAGCCTACTGCAACAACGGAGGTCGTAGTCGTCGCCCCCTCTAGTGAGTGGGGACAGCGCAAGGGTGGTCGTGGTCGTGGAGGAGGTGAAGGCGCTAGTACGTCAGGAGGTGTTGACGCTGGGAATGCTGGTGCTGGGGGTTGCTGCCATAGGAGGTGGTGGTGGCTCTGCAGCTAAAGCAACAACAGTCATAGCAGCAGCAGCGGCATCCGTCCTTGAGCCGCGCTGGGAGCGTTACTTCCTGGTTATTGTGGATGACTACTTCCACTACACCACAGTGTTTCCCCTGGAGCGGAAGGCGGACGTGCCTGGCGTTCTCCTGACGTGGCTAGTAGTTGTCCGCACCCAGCGCGCCCAGCTAGTGCTTTGTCTACACTCCAATCGTGGTGGCGAGTTCGCCTCTGGTTTCCTTGATCAGTTTTGTCGTGCGGAGGGCATTACCCAGGCGTACTCGCTCCCAAACTCGCCGCAGCAGAATGGGATGGCTGAGCATCGCATTGGCTTGGTCACCCCCCTTCCTTCGGTTGGGCCTATGGGAAAGTATGTTGAATCTTGAAGCCGGGTGCGTACGGGTGCGCCTCCTATGTTGGCCCCTTCGCCACCTTCCCCATGTCCCCCACCTACGTCGCTGCTGTTGCCACAGTCTCTGCCGTCATCGGCGTCATCTTCGCACCCGCCGCATCAGCCTTCGTCACCGGAACAACTGTCATCATTGCCGCAATCGGTTGATGTGGAATCTTGGGCGTGCTGGTTCTGGGGATGCTAGCTCTGGGGGTGCTGGTGCTCGAAGTCCTAGTTTTGAGGGTGCTACCGCATAAGGTAGTAGGTGCCATAGTCACCACAACAGTCACAGTCGTTGTCGCAGCAGCCGCAGCCGTTGTCGTCGCCGCTTGTGTCTCCACTTCACCTTCTAGGGCTTTCTACCCCTCGCTTGACCGACCACCTGTTCCCCCCTCACCGCCTCTCCCAGCCTATGGTCCCATGTTTCCTCCCCATCTCTAGCCCATCTTCCTCCATGTTCACAGTTGTTTCCTCCTCTGTCTCCTGACCCAACTCCTCCCTCTCACCACTGGGTCCGTTGTCCCTCTCTTGCTTGCCCACTATCTCCCCTGCCCCATATTAGTTCTACGCTCCTCTGTTCTCGTCCCTCTCGTATTCCACCAACCTCTATTCTCGTGTTGCCTCCTTCGTTGTCCCTTACTATCTCCTCTCTTCTGTCCTCTGATTTTCTCCATATCGCTCCCCCTATAATCAATCGTGACCTTACCTCCCTCATTACCGGCCCCACTGCTCCTCCTCCGTCCGTCTCTGCTCTTGTCGTTGCTGTCGCTGACTTTGCCTTCATCCACTGCCTTGACTACGCCACTCAGTTGGTCTATGTTCTCGCTCGTCCTCTGTCTGTCAAGGGTGCTCCTACCCTTGGCAGTGAAGTTCAAGAGGACAGGCAGTACGAGATGGCTTTCCTTGCAGCCGCTGCTCCTCATCTCCGTGCCATGCTGCTAGCCCCTGAGGGTGACCTAGACGCTCTAGATATCCCGACCCCTCGCACCTATGCTGGGGAAGTCTGGGAACCCTGGGCCTCTCTGTGGACAGAAGCCATGGATGAAAAGATGGCATATTAGAGGTCATCATGCACTTACGTCGACGCAGTTTCCCTTCCTAGGCCGAACGTAGTCGATGGCATGTGGATATTCAAGGTGAAGCTTCCACCTTGAGAGCTGCCTGACTTCAAGGCGCGCTACGCAGCTAGAGGCTTTAGTCAGCAAGAGAAGGTAGAATTTTTTATTCTTGCCCAACCCGAAGATGTCTACTCTTTGGATATTGGTGCACATCGCAACGTAGCACGACTAGAAGTTGTTGGGCTGAAGTGCCCTAGGATCTTTGTAGAGTTTTAAGTCTGAGTAGAATTGTAGTAGCAGAAGCGTTTGAATGAAAGTACTTGAACCACCTTGCGCTAGTGTGTGAGGGCAAAGTAAGTTGATTAAACAAGCAAATACAAGGTTTATATAAGAGTACAAGGAATACGAATATATAAGTGAAAACCGTTTTATTGTTGCGATTCGATACAGTGCGACTCGGGCAACTGCTCAATGTCGAGTCAGTTGTGTGTCCTTGCTGTCGCGCTGTATTTGTCAAGTCAAAGGTCGCTGACCTTTGACCTTCTCGTAACCTCCAGGCGGTTACCCTTGTGAAATGAGTAAGCAGCAATGATGTGAACTATGAGTGAAAGCAGTACAAATGTGAAACCCTAACTGGGTTGTACCCCCTATGGGATACCCCACTACAGCCTACACAGCAGTATAAGCTATAGACATGTTCTGACACACCCCCATAGGCAAAGTGGGGGAGAACAAGGGGTCACAAGACCAATCAAGCAAGACAAAGCAAAGCTCAGGGTGGATCACAAAGTCACCACACAATCCGAGCACAAGAGCAAGGCCAAAGGCCAGTTCACAAGCAAGAGTACAGACATATATATATAAAACTAGACAAGCAAGAGCAGGTATATATATATGTCACAGTACAAGTAAAGTCAAGAGGAGAGCAAGTGAGGCAAGACAGGCACAAGACCCAGCTGGGTGCAGAAGCGCTGATGGTCACAAGGCGCAAGTGCCTTGGTGAACACATCAGCAGTGTTGGCCTCAGAGGCCACGTACGCAAGTCGCAACTGACCACGCTGCTGCAACTCACGAGCAAGGAAGTAGCGGAGAGCAATGTGCTTCGTTCTGTGCTCCAAGCGCTGCTCTCGACACAAGGCCAGCATAGCCTTGTTGTCTACGTACAGCACTGGAGGAGAACGAGACGGCTCTCCAAGGTCAGTCAGCAGGTAGGTGAGCCAGCGAAGCTCCTGTGCAGCCATGGCTCCGGCGTAGATCTCAGCCTCACAACTGGAGCCGAGAACCGAAGACGAGCGAGTAGACCGCCACGAGACAGAGCCGGAACCAAGGCTGAAGGTGTAACCCTGTGACGACCGCTGCGTAGCCTGGTCGTCAGCCCAAGAAGCGTCCGCGTGGCCGGTAAGGACCACTGGACTCCGCCCTCCAAGCACTAGCCCCATGCCTGACGTACTGCACAGGTAGCGCAATACCCTCTTCGCTGCAGCCATGTGCTCCGGTCTGTGTCTCCCAGGAGCAACATAGCGTGCAAGAATGCTCAGAGGGTATGCAAGGTCAGGTCGTGTGCAGGTCATCAGGTACATGAGGCAGCCAACAAGCTCTGCATACGGACCACTCGACTCTACGGACTCATCCGAAGGCAATGCTGAGAGTGAGTGGCGAGTAGGCAGAGGAGTGGCCTGAGGCGAGGAGTACGTGAAGCCGAAGCGCTGAAGGACCTGCTGCACCATGTGTGACTGAGTCAAGGTAATGGTGCGGCGTGCTCTGTCCCGAGTGATCTGCAAGCCAAGGTAGCTGCGCAGTTCACCCAGGTCTGTGCACGTGTGTCTCTTCAGCAGCTCGGACTTCACGTAGGCGAGTCCAGCAGTGTCCGCTGTGGCAAAGACCAAGTCGTCGACGTACACGAGGATGTAGAACGGCGGCAGGGAAGTGTCGGTGCGAAGAAACAGCGACGGGTCAGCAGTAGAAGGAGCAAACCCAAGAGCCGCAAGCGTAGTCCTCAGTGTGTCGTGCCACTCACGCGGTGCCTGGCGGAGACCGTAGACTGGCCGTCTGAGGCTCCACTGGGTGCCAGGAGGGAAAGTCCCAGTGAAGCCAGGTGAACGGCGAAGCCAGATCTCCTCGTGCAGGCTACCCTGCAAGAACGCAGTGCTGAAGTCGAGAGAGTGAAGCTCGTAGTCGCGCTGAGCGGCTATGTGCAGCAGCACCCGAAGAGTAGTCATCTTCGGGGTGGGAGAGAAGGTCTGAAAGTAGTCAACTCCCTGCCGCTGACTGAAGCCACGAGCAACGTACCGTGCCTTGAAGACAGGTGGAGAGCCCGGCGGCCGCTTCACCCTGAAGATCCACATGCCACTGACGATGTTCGCCCCAGGAGGGGGAACAGCGTCAACGTAGGTGCCTGTGGACTTCCAGGAAGGCATCTCTGCATCCATGGCTGCCTGCCACTGAGAGGAGTAGGGGCCCTCTACGGCCTCCGCGTAAGAACGCGGAGTCGGGATGTCTAGTGCATCCGGGTCTCCCTCAGGGGCAAGCAGTACAGACGCGAGATGAGGTGAAGCAGCCGCTAGACACTGTAACTCCTCCTACCTGTCCTCTAGGACGTCCGTGCCAAGAGCACACTCACCCCCGACGGACGGAGGACAGACAGACGCAGACTCAGCAACAAGACTAGCAGCGTAGTCTAGACGACAGCGAGCAGCAAAGTCGACGAGCTCAGCGACTAGAGCAGACGCAGCAGTGGACTCAAAAGAGGGGTCAGTGACGACAGTAGCAAGCAGACGCGTGACAGTAGGACTCGCAGCGCGAAGAGAGTCCGACTCAGGGTCGGCAAGCGCAGGAAGAGAGGACTCAGGAGGAGAAGGCAAAGGGGCACGCAGAGGAGCAGTGGACGGACGCAGAGACATCCGGTGCGTGCCAGGGACAGGAGGAGGACGCTGACGCGAACCGCGACCACTAGCGCGAGCAGCACGAACAGGCGACGCGGGGCGAGACGCAGGCTCACGACGCTCAGCAAGACCTCCAGTAGGACCAGTGTAAGGAGAGGGAGCAGGCAGTGGAGAGGAAGGCTCCAGTAGGGACTGCGACTGGACAGGCGGTGGACCCTCTACTGGAGGAGAAAGACCAAGAACCTGCTGAAGGAGCGGAACGAAGTACGGCCGAGGCCGCGCGGCAGCTCCAGTCTCAGCAGGGACAGCACCAGCACCCTCAGCGACAGCACCAGCGCCACCCACACCTCCAGCGGCAGGACCAACAGCAGCAGGCCCAGCACGAACGCCCTCAGCAGCTCCAGCTCCAGGAGGACCCGCAGGTCCAGCAGCTCCGGGACCGGCAGCACCCGCACCCTCGACGATCGAAGAAGCTCCAGCTCCAGCTCCAGCAGCACCTCCAGACTCAGCAGCACGCCTCCAGCGGCGAGCGAACCACTCGCGCAGCTCCTGTGGAGAGAGGGGCTCCCGGCGAGACGCAGCAGCAGGAGAAACCCCAGGCTCAGCAGCTCCAGACGCAGCACCCCCAGGCTCAGCAGCTCCCAGCTCAGCACCCCCAGGCTCAGCAGCTCCAGGC